TGTTTAGGTCTCTATACTTTTATTTTTATCTATTTTGGACTCTATAATTCGAATTCATAAATTTTTGGTCAAAAATTGGTGCTTTAATCAGTTGAATTAGGTTAAGGTTAGTGATTTTGATATTTTTTAAAACTTCAAACATTTGCTAAAAATACACTTTTTTTTAGTACAACATGTGGGGATGGAGGATCAAACTCACAATCATAGAGATAATTACCACTGAGTTATGTTCAATTTGATGCTAAAAATACACATTTTATTTTATGCTATTCAGGTAAATTCTTCGAGACTATATTACTTTATATAATTATGCGAATGCTCTAATAATTATAAGCTGAACCAATTGCCGAAAATGATATTTTAAAATTAAATGCCTTAGTCCTTTGATTTTTAAAATAAATAAATATCTTCTCAAAACAATATCGATTTTAAAGTGCAATGATAAAATATGTTCAATCTAAATAAGAAAATATTAAGGATAAGTTACCAAAAAATAAAAATAAAAAATCTTGAAATTTGCCATCTGTTTTAAAAATATCTATAATGTTTCAAAAGTTTTAATACTACTTTTTGACATTTTATTATACTCCTAAAACAAGCTCTTTGAACAAACATTTGTTTATATTTTTTACTAAAAGTTGATGTGACAGAATCTGAAATGACATAACAATTAATTGAAGTTTACTTAGAGCATAATTGACTAGCACTACAATAAAGTTAACCTTTAACATGATTAATTGTGGGTCTGTCGTTATTCTACATGTGAGTTTTTTTTATTGTCGTTAAGTGGTTGTTTCCTTCCTGAGAATCCATGATGCCCACTAAACCGGTATCTTGATTCTCAGGTTTGTTTTGCAAAAATGTAAGATACTCGAACATGTCAAGATGTTGGTATCCTAGGATGCCCATACGTTAGATGCCATTTTGAAATATGGTTTTCAAGATTCTCATGTTGTGGGCATTACCGTTTTATATTTTTTCATTCATTCTCTTTTCATATATTTATTCTCATAAATTGCTTTATTTTATTTTTAATTTTTTAATTTAAATAAATTAATGTACTAAATTGACAACAACTTTATGACAATTAATTATATTTATATATTACATTTAATATAAAATAGAAATAAGATAAGATATACAATATCTTTATTTATTTTTAATATTTCGAAGAAATTATTATTATTATTATTTATTATCATAAATATATAATTTTAAAGCAACATTTTTATAATGACGAACGTACATTTGATATTTTTCTCTTAAAAAAATAATTTGACAATATGATGAATAAATTTCACTCAAGATAACACCAAAGATAACACCAATTATATAGTTACCTGTTTAAAAAAGATTAAAGATTATTTTTTTAAAAATAAAAATCTCATATTAATATGAAATAATTTTTCTAAAAAAAATATAAAGATTAATATATAAATAATTATTATAAAAAATAAAATGTTAAATTAATAAAAATAAATCTATTATATAAATGTAAATTATAATAAATTAATGTATAAATTATATGAATAACCGTAAAGACATTTTTAGAACGTTACATAAACTTAAAACATTACAAATAATAAATCTTGCAAACAAACGTAGCTATCTAAATATTCCTGAATACCTTTATAAATTTTTATACGAAACAAACGTGATTATCAAAGATACCAAACATTTAAAATTCGTCCATCTGAAATCGCAACCATCTAAAGATGTCAGACATTTACATTTCCAAAAAAACAAACAATATGTAAAGGTAAAATTTGTTGTAGTACTAACTAATTGTTCGTAGCAAGCTTCCAATAAATATATTCCATAGATCATGCTCTTTCCTAGCCAATGTGAGACTTTGTTTGCATTCACCTTAGAAATCCAACAATCATTCCCTCGAGCAAAGTACCATCAAGCCTCCCCTCGAGTAGTTACTCATTCGTCTACTCTCGAACATGAACGAGAGTTTTGCTCTTATCCAGGGCTGCCGTGACTAATAGAACACACCCACGAATTACACCATAACTAGATCTTCTAAGACTCACCACTTCTATGTTCAGCACTCGAGGATTCACTGACACAGTTAGTTTAGACTATGACTCTGATATCACTTGTTAAGTTTTAGATTTTGCTATGTTAACTTCCCATTCAAAATATCAATGCATGTTTTTGAAAGGATACTTTTTAAGATGTTTATGAAAGAATAATATTGAAATTTAAATAAAGATAGCAATATTTTAAAATAAAGGGTATCTATATATATATATATTTTGCTTTTTTTGTCCTTAATCTCAGATTAATTAATTATAATTAATTAATTAATTAATTAATGTTTTGATGATAACAAATCTAATTTTATTTATTGACAATTTTAGTAGTTTGATGTGTCTACAGCATAGAGTTCAATATAACGATTCCAACATTTTTGAATTACTTAAATTGGAACTCAAACAAAGAAATTACGAGGAAAAGAATTAAAAAATGTGGTGGATGACGTGGCCACTGTGGATTAATTAAATACTATCATGGGGTAAAAAGTTTATTGACAAAAAAAGAAATGAAAAGAAAAGAAAGAAAAGAAACTATAGAAAAGGAAAAGAATTAAAATAAAGAGGGAAAAAAATATAAAAAAAAGGTTATAGATGTAACTTAAAAAAAGGTTATAGAGGTAACTTAGAAAAAATAAAATAATAATAAAAAGAAAAAGAAAAGTGAAATCTCTTTAATGCTATGACATGACTATTTAAAAAAAAACTGAAGTTAGCGTTGGTGTAGAGAGTTATATTTTATTATAATTATCATTAAAATTTTCAATTAATCTCAACCATTCATCTATTTCGGTCCAAATTAAATTTTGATTTCAAACTTTTTCTTCCTCCAGCCCTTTTTTCAAGGCATTATTATTTTTTACTCACTTTTTTCAAAATTTATGTTTTCTAATCGTTTGTTGATGTCAGGAATATTGCCAAATAACCGTCCATGCCCTTCCTTCCTTGGGTAATACGAATAGATTAAATTCTCTAAATTTCAAACTTCCCTCCTTCTTTTCCATCTTTCCATATTCTCTCATTGCTCACAATCATGGAACTTCAATTCTTCTCGTCCGTCTTCAGTGTACAACATCAATTTTACCCAAAATTGGGTAGAGTTTTCGGACGTTTATTCTCAGTGAACGAGTTCCATTTCCGTTTCGCAAGACTCAGTACAGCGGGTTGTTCGATTGGAGGCCATTTTCCTCGATTTGTTTCGGGTTAGTGAATGTCAACCACTGTTTTCAATTCAATCAGAGTTCATTTCAAGGTCATTCCCATTATTACACTTTTCTGCGCACGAAATTGATGTTTTTCCATTGTCTAGTCCAAATTGATTTATAGATATCAAGGACTTTCGGAAACGCCATTACGGCGCAATTTTTTTTTTTTGTTAATGGATCTGTACCATGCAACTTGAAGAAAGAAATTGATGTCTGTCCATTGCATGATCTACACCAGAGTGATGCATTAATTCATAGATGGAGAAACAACGAGAGCAAGAGATATAGGGAATGAGAGAAATAGGGAGTGAAAGATATCCATAACGAGAGAAATCAAGAGCGAGAGAAATCTAGAGTGAGAGGACGACAAAAATGGCGAAGGAGAGAAATCGAGAGGGATGGAAATCGAGAGCGAGAGAAATGTGGAAGGAGATAGATCGAGGGCGAGAGAAATGGGGAATGAGACATATCGAGAGCAAGACATATCTTAGTAGGTTATAACTGTATCGACACATATAGAGAGCGAGAGAAATCGAGAGTGATGAAAATCGAGAGCGAGAGAAATCTGGAAGAAGATAGATCGAGGGCGAGAGAAATGTGAAGCGAGACATATCTAGAGCGAGACATATCTCAGTGGGTTATAACTGTATCGACACATATAGAAAGCGAGAGAAATCGAGAGCGATGAAAATCGAGAGGGAGAAAATTCTGGAATGAGAGAAATCGAAGGCGAGAGAAATGGG